CCTCCAGCCAGTGATCGATGGCCGAGATGATTCTGCGGGGTAACTGGGAGCCAGAGGTAGCAGGCTGGAGCAGGCTGGAGATACGGAAAGAGTGGCCAGACCAGTGTGGACAGAGGTGCCATTTTCACAGCTGCTCTTTGAACTTGCCCTTGTCATCCTAGGAGGGAAGGGAAATGAGAGCTATGAACCGTTCCCTCTCAAAAACAAGTTCCCTCTGGGCAGACACTGTAGCCTGAGCTGAGAAGAGCCGGGCCGGGCGGACGGCATGCTCTGTTCCCAGCTCCCGCTGCTCTAGTGTTTTCCTGGCCGAGCTTGGGGCCTGCAGCTGGTGTGGCCTGCGGAGTGGGGTCAGCCCCTCTGCGGAAGCCCTGGCCGGGGGCAGCCACCTGCCTGCTCCTCTCACTCCTCCTCTGTCACCTGGTCTCTAGGCTGCCCTGACTCTCTTTTCTGCCTCTTCCTCTGCCCACATCTTCCCTCTGTTTCTCTCTTCTCCTCTACTGGGGCTGGAAAGGACCCCAGGCCGGCTGTCCTGACCCCTGGGACCTGGCTGGGCTGGGCTGGGCTAGGCTGCTGGGACTCAGGTGCAGTGCCTCCCCGGTGCTCCCAGGGGGCTGCCTGGCCCGACTCCAGCGTGATGGGGACCCTGCCTGTGCATGGCCTGCTCTGCAAGTCAGGATCCCTGCTACGCCTTCTCTTCCCACCCAGGCCCCACTCCCCTGAGAAGCTCCCGGCCTCGGCAAAGTATTGAAGAGCACAGGCAAATAAAGAACACGCTCTGGGCCCGGCAGCCTGGCCCTCCTCCCCCAGATCTCTGCTCGTCTCTTCCAGGACAGAGCAGTGGATGATCTTGCCGAGTGACCTTCATTTAGGGAGCAAACGGGCAGGTCTGTCTTTACAGTTCCTTGGATCTTTAAAAAATTCTCCCCTTCCCCCGAGTGGCCTCTGATCTTCTGGAGTGATGGTCCCTGGGGGACCACACACCCTGAGATGAAACCAACTTAAATCTCCATTCGAAACCCGTGTTCAAATGTTTATGATATTCATTTGGAAAAGAGAGGCAGGATTGGGTTTTTTTTTTTTAAACCAAGCGTATCTGAAGGTTTCTTTACCGAAGGAGGTTATAAAAGTGGGGGTGGAGAGCAGTGCTGAAAAGGCGACTCACATTCTTGTGACGTATTTGCAGCTTGAAAATCTATGGTGAGGGGATGTTCTCTCCTGTCGAGAAGCAGAATAGGGAGCTACCTCCTTTTGATTATGGAAGAAATTAGTCCTGGGGGCTTTTCTGATTGTTCAATTTTGTTACCTGGTGACTTAACAGTGTTTTCCCCAAACCCACCTGGTCTGGCTGGGCCAGAATCCCAGCCAGGCTGCTGGGCACTTGCCTGCCTTCCGCTCTGAGGCCGGAGAATCGTCTGGAATGATTAAGAGCCAGATGTCACTTTCTGTGTTCAGCTTTGAAAAAGCCAGATCCCTTGAAAATGCCTCTCGGGACCAATACTATGAGCCGTCATCACATCTGCATCCCAAGTGATGCCCAGGGAGTCCTCGTGTCCTGAGACAGGCTCTGTGTGTGGGTGGGGGCGGTGCTGTCCCCTGCGCGAGCCTCGTTCTGAAGGGTGGTGCCATGAGTCTTACTGTCTGCAGATGCAGCTGGGCCGCAGTGGACCCGGCCCAGCGATTCTGATTTGTGAGTCTGGGGCGGGCCTCAGACTCCCTGGTGATGCTCGTGATCCAGGCATGGGCAGCCTGTGTGGCAGCCCGAGGACCTTGCCCCTTGGGGATGGTTTGTCAGCCTTGAGTCTGCTGCTCCAATTTGTGTGCGTGGGCGTGCGTGTGTGCATGCGTGCACGTGTGTGTGCTTGTGTGTGTGTGCGTGTCTCCAGCTCTTGGACTATTCTCTGCCTGCCCTTGACTGGTGAACCCGTGTGGGCAAAGCTATGTTGCTTTCCTTTATCCCACTTAAGTAGATAGGGTCCCATCAAATTTATTTTTATTAGAATTAACTGGATTTTGCATTTGCAAATGATATTGACCAAATTTGCATCATTTAACTTTTGTGAAGTTCTTTTTCTGCGCATGGAGCCAACATACTGACAGTTACTGCTTCACTTTTTGAATATGCATCAAACAACTCAGAAATGAAAATAAGCAGTTAATTCAACAAAGCATTGAATGGTCTAAGTGAAACGTCATGGTACGTGGACTGGTAATATCATCTCACCTTTCACAGCTGCATGTGTTAAATTGTCAATTTTAGGTCCCATTACATTTAACTGCATAGGTTTTCACTGGCCCCATCCAAACCATTCATCTAAACAGATATCAAAGGACAGGGGGATGTTTTTCTGCAATATGTCAATCCCCCAAAACCAGATCAAACCACGTGCGGCCCTGTCAATCCACTGCGGAGCCCTGGGTCCCAACAGCCACTGAGCAGCAGATCCAGTGTTCAGAGGACAACTGACCTTTGCAAAAACTTACCCATCCTTTGCCAGCACTCCACGTGGCCTTATAAGGAGACTTAAGTGTGGCCTGAAGTGTCTGTAGGAAGAAAACAGGAGAGCCAGTTCCTCCCTTTCTCGCTCTAGCCCCAGTCTTGACTCAGCGACAGGCATGCCCGTGTCTGGCTCTAAAAGAAATAGCTGTCCTGGCAGAGCAAGTTCTCTGTTGAGCAGAGAGAGGGCCCTGAGCAGGTTCACAGACACGTGGACTGTTGGCGGAGGTCGCAGAGTGGCCCTTCCCCACGGCGGCTTGGTTCCATCAGCAGAAAGAGGAACTGTCCCTGCCTGCGCTCTGACACCAACCAGGGGGCCCCCAGTCTGCTTCAGTCCCGACACTCACCACCTGGGGTTAGCAGGGACACCACAAGGTCAAGGGCCCAGCCCTCAACAGGGCTGCCCACGGCCCTCCCTTCAGATGCCACCTGCGGTTCTGACTTGGTTACTCTTCCAAGGGTTCCCACAGCTCCCCCTCCTCTGGTCTGACAGTTCACTGAAACAACTGGTAGGATGCAGGGGAGGGAGGTGTGGGACTCACAGCTTCTGCATCCTCTCCTCCTAGACTCCAGCGGGCGCTCTCCTGGTGTGAGGATGTGCCCACCAACCCCCAGTTAATTCAGCCAGGCTAGGGGGTCCTGGGTCACACAGAGTGAGTGTGTGCCCGTCAGCAGGTGCTCGCGGGGCACTGCTGTCCCAGGTCGTGGCTTCAGTGCAGGTCACAGGGCAGAGAGCAGCACTGGGGAGCAGGGCCCGCTCCCCTGTGCTCCCTTCAGGATGCTTTTCCAGCCCAGCAGTTGCCTTTAATGTGAATACGGTGTCTTCCAAGTCAAGGCCCAGGGGTGCTTGGAGCATCTTGGGCCACACCTGCCCCCGTAGGCCTCACACACGACTCGGGATCATAACAACATCTGTTGCTGAAAAGGAGTCCCTTCAAGTCAGCCATTCCGTGTCATGGGCCAGGGTGCCCGGCAGTGGCCCCAGAGAGGACAAGACAGGGTGTGTCAAACACCCAGGCAGTTGGGAGCCCGCAGAGCTGTCAGGGACCCAGGCTGTGCCTAGCAGGGGCCCAGTGCAGGGCTCCCCTGAGCCCGGTACTGGGCCTGGCCCGTGGCGAACAGTCCAGGGAAGCTTGTAAATGAAGGGATGAAGGAGTTAATGGGTGCCTCTTCTGATCTCCCACAGATTACAACAGCAGCGAACTCAAAACAGCCTGCCGGAAGCATGAACTCTATGTGAGCTTCCAGGACCTGGGATGGCAGGTGAGTTCTCTAACAGCAAGGGGGACGAAGGCCCTTCTTCTGCGGTCTCTTCTCTTCTCAATGGTAGCAGCCGCCATCAAAGACCTTGAGCTTTAGGACCGAGAAGGTTCCTTCTGTGAAGGTGCTTAGGAGCCCTCCCGGATGCCTGGCTCCGGGAGGGAGGTGGTGGAAGGCCTGCCCACGAGTGCCAGAACCCCCGCCCCTTCCCCCGGCACCTTTCCGGGGAGCCCAGGCTGGGCTCCAAGCACTGCATCTCTGCAGATCACTAGCCCATTTCCCAGTATGCTTCCCTCGCTCGTTCAAGGTCCACAGGGCATTTAAACAGATGCTCACTGTGTTTTGAGAAAGGGCTGGAAATACTGATCTAATTGTTAACTTCTCCAAGGGCCAGACTTCGGCTCACCCGACCTGGAAGAGCACAGATATTTTGTCCTAACACCTGAGAGCCTTCACGAGTTTAGAAGAGGCCAAATCCAGGTGCCAAGTGGTAGAAGAGTTCCCTATGCAGGTGGCATTGGGATGACAGAGGTGCCTGGAGAGGCTCCTTTGGTGCAAGCACATGGAGCCAGCCTCCTGCGGGCCCCCAGGCCTCGGCAGGCGAGGAACGGATCAAGACCGCGAGGGCTCCTGAGTCAGACTGACTGGGTTCACACCCTAGCTTTGCCCTTGAATGTGACCTTGACCTCCTGGGTCTGTCCCCTTCCCTGTCCACTGTGAGCGATGCCTGCTCCCAGGGTTACTGAGAGCAGGATGATGCGAAGAGTTTATGTGAACCACCCTTTTCTGTTGCTTCCTTTTGCTTTAAATCAAGGACTGGATCATTGCACCCAAGGGCTACGCTGCCAATTACTGTGATGGAGAATGTTCCTTCCCCCTCAACGCGCACATGAACGCGACCAACCACGCCATCGTGCAGACCTTGGTGAGCGCTGTTTTCACGGTACAGGTAGCAGTGAGCCCAGACCAGGTTTAATTTCTAATGACGCCCTTCCCTCCTGTTTTTGGAACAGGTTCACCTTATGAATCCTGAGTATGTCCCCAAACCGTGCTGTGCACCAACAAAACTAACGCCATCTCGGTTCTTTACTTTGATGACAACTCCAATGTCATCCTGAAAAAATACAGGAATATGGTCGTGAGGGCTTGTGGATGCCACTAACTTGAAGCTAGTTGCTGGGGACACGCAGACGGCCTTGGACTCCTGGATGACATCTGCCTTAAAAATCACGCAGGGCAAGACTCTGAAACCAGCTGGTGCTGGCTGGCGCCTTCCTGCCCCAGGAAGGTCTTAAAGGACCTTGTTCGGAATTTGCTCACATAGGAAAATATCGTGGGTCGTGGTGGTTCTGTAGGAAGCTGAGCTTGAAGGTCTGAAGGATGAAATCGGGTCATGGCAGAAACAGAACTTTGAAGGGTTCCCCTCTGCCCCTCAAAACCCACCAAAATCAGTGTTCGCTTTAGATCAAGCTCCTTGTGGTGTTAGTGAGTAAACAGGGAAAACCATCTTAAAAAAGCAAAAGGATTCTTGGCTCAAGTATCAGCAGGTTCGGTCGTTCGTCAGCTCACGGGAACGGGGAAGATGCCCGTCTTCAGGCCTCATTCCCGGGGAGGTGGGGCTCACGTAGGCTCGGGGCCGGTGCGGGAGCCGGGCGACGTACAAGTGCCTTTAGTCTTGGTCGTGCGGTTACGTGTTTGTCGGTGTGAAGATACTTCTTTCAGTCCAACCACGTTATTTCCACAGCCCTGTCTGCCCGTGCCCCCCCCCCCCATGCTGATTTCTTTCACTAGGACCAAAAAGAGACTAGAGTGATCACTCTGAGTGGAGGCTCCGGGCACAAGAAGCCGTGTTAAAGCCATCGCTGCAACCATGTCGCACACGAGTGCCACCCTACACCTCCGCCCTTGGGGTCGGCTCTTTGAAAAGCACCTTTACTTCGGGATCGTCCGCTCTCGTCTCTGTCTGTGAAACGGTTCTTGGCCCTTGTACGGTGTCCTGGGTCGCAGGCGTCGCCCGACAGAGGGCACCCAGCCCCCAGGAACGGCTTCGGACAGGCGAGCCGTTTAGGACCCGAAATCAGTTTTCTCCTGTAGAAGGTCAGACTCAGATCTCACCTTGGAAGATTTTTCAAACGTCTTTTTCACGATCATGTACTGGGAAACCAATTTCATACTAAACTGATTAAACCTTACATGTATGCTATAGCTACCTTTACAGCTTTTCTGTAAATATCAACTATAATTTATTGTCTGATAACTGTTTTGCTGTAACATTTAAGGAACGGCCAGACCATTTTTTTTTAAAAAAAATTTATTTAGAAAGTATCATAGTGTAAACAAATTGTACCACTTTGATTTTCTTTGAAAACAGGATTCATGATGCAAGCGGAAGCCACTCAGATTGTGCTTCTCCAGAAAGTTGGGTTGTTTTTCCTTTAAAAGAACATCTGTGAACCATACATGATTAATAAAGATTTCCTTTAAGGCAGAGGCTGGCCGAGGTCCTGCTGTGCTCGTCTGCCGCAGACAGCAGACATGGTCTGTCTTCTAAGGGTCGCACCACCAGTTACTTTGTGCCGGTGACCACATCCCCTGAGCACGGCCGCTGGGCACAGTGGGGTGTTACGAGAAGTAACTTGATGGCAAAGGACGGACAGGTACAGACCTTAAGGGAGCCTAGTTCTGTAGCTGCGGACTTCCAAGGGTGATGGTAAAAATGCTTCCTAACCAGGGTGGCGTGAACCATTGGGACGCTAGCATCAGTGGTGACGTGGCCCTGCCTCCTTTTGTCTTTGGTCCTGGGGTCATGTTAACTCCACTCTTCATACGGCAGGAGGCTGACCTCGAAGGCAGAGTACAGGCCACTGCCTCTAAAGGGACCGCTGAGGGCTGAACCAGAAACCCCTCCTAGCTAGGGCCAAGGAGCGGGGCTGCGGGCTTTCCTTAGACCCTGACACCCAGGACCTGGGGAAGCTCATCTGGTCCTCATGCCCCAGGTGGCAAATACAACCAGAATCTTCCCAGGAGCTAACGGGAAAGGCTGTGTGGAAACTTCTAAACTTCCAGGGGAAGACATCAAATCTGAAAGTTCGCATGGACTGGCTTCATGTTAACTAACGAAGCCTTTCACTCCTGAGAGACAGCAGTATCCCTTGAGCAGGAGTGAGTGGTCAAGTATCCACACACGCCTGGGACCGTGGCGTCGGCATGGTCTTACTTGGGCACGTGGCCAGAGGACCACTGCTTTCCCGACGGCGAACCTCTCTCCATGAGATAGCTTTCCCCGTAAGAGAAGTAGCCACAGAAACAAAACCCATGTGGGGCTGGGAAGGCGGCGCTCCCAGGGGTGGGGCTGGTTTTTCACCTCTGCTCCAAGCTGCAGACCAACCTCGTGACTGACCAGTCGACTGGCCTTCGGATCAGAGCGACATCAGTGCTGCCCCAAGGCCACCTTTCCAGAATTCAAAAACTACGCTCTGAATGATGCTGCCAGCAAATCACTCTGGAGCCAAAAACAGTCGATTTTCCTCGACTCTATTTAGTCTCAAAGGAAACCACTGAGAGTTCACCAAGGGAAGGGTCAAGGGATGACAGGTCACCACTGAAAATATTTAGTCTGCGAAGGGATCATGACTTACGTTTACTTAGAGAAACTTAAGAAAGGCCCTGCAGCGTCTGTTGGCTGAAAAACACACGCACGCGGGGAAGAGCTCTGAGTCACCGCCGCTTGAACGTGGGCAGGTCTGCGAGGCTGGGCTCCCGCACGCCGGGGCCCGGGGCCGGGCGGGGAGGCGGCTTCCAGCCGGGCTCACAGTTCGTCCTTCGCTTGGCGCAGAACAAAATGGTGCAAGGATTCCAGGTCTCTGCCCCCACTGTGCTCGCTGACTTTTTTCCCTCCGCGGAAAAGCAACAGTGTGGGATAGCCTCGTACCTTTGGAAAAAAAAAAAAAAAGCTTGCAAACCAGTGGTCCGAATCACACACACAGTGCTTCTTAGATAAAATCAGAACAGACCCTAGAGTGGTTGGTGGCCATGAAAGGCTATGGCTAAGATTTTAAAATGTGGAGACCCTCCAGAAAGCACCCGGGAGCTCAGCAGGCGGAGCCCTGGGGCTCTTCTCCACTTTCCAAGCCCAAACTACTTTCGAGATTAGCGTAAAGGGGCGATTTCAGCCCAAAGCGGAGCCTCCCAGCCTTTCATGCGCACGCGGTGCCGGGGGAGCCGGGGCAGATGCCGGCGGGGCCTGAGACTCCACATCTCCGGCCAGCTCCCAGGCGACGCGCAGGTGCTCTGCGGAGCGCAGGGAGCGGCCCCGAGATCCCCAAGGATACTCGTTTGTCAGCTGTAACTCACCTCTTTCCAAAATATTTTAAAGCCCCCCCCCCATGCCTGGCATCCTGTATAAGCAGATGAGCCTCTGTGCTCGTCTATTCCGATCAACCCCAGCAGCCTCAGAAGTGTTTCAGGAAAACAACACGAAAGGAAAAATATAAACTGCAAATCTCTTAGGCTATCAGACAGCGCGAACAGCTTGGAAAGAAGGCGACGGGTGAGTAACCGACCCCGGCCTGGCCGTAAGGCCCTCTCAGGAAGCGTGTGTCCAAATGCCCCGCACTCAGCACCGCGCTTCAGAAGCCACGCAGGTGCTTACGATGAAGGCGACAAGCCAGCTGGTGGTTTAGCCGGTGAGAATGGCTGCAGAGGGGTGCCGCTTCCCAAGCTCCGAGTCCCAGCTCCTGCCCAGCCTGACGCCTGGATGGCAAGGACTGACCCCCACCCCACCCGAGTCGTGCAAACTCACAGAAGACAAAGAAAGGCTTTCCTTTGGGGGAGCAGCTCTTTTGCTTTTCAAAATGTGGCGGAGAGGGACCTCAAAGGGACACCAAAAATGCTTTGTCGAGAGGGTACGGGCAGTGAGTTATCTGGTTGAGTCCATGACACCAAATGACAGTTCCTCTTGGGAACTGCCCCCGACTCGCAGCCTCCCCCGAGCGCCTCCATCCACCTGGACCCACCGAGTACTTGCTGCAGATGCTGCGCTCCGCGGTGCAGTCCACTTTGGCGATCCTGACCTCCGCCAAGCCAGGGAATTCCTTTCTAGAGAGTTCTTCCCAAGTGGGGGCCAGGTTCTTGCAGTGACCACACCTAGGGACAGAAGAGCCACAGCCGTGGTGAGGTCGGGGGCAGGCTCGCTCACCTACGCTGCGCTGCCAAGCCTGGTCTCTCCTGTAGGAGGCGGTCAGCAATCAGCACTGCCTAGAAGTTTACAAACCGCCAGGTTCTCCCAGCAGGTGCGCAGTGCTTCCTCCCCGATCCCCAGCAGGGAGTTCTAACTCCTTCCAAAGTAGGTTTTCGGATAACCTGATGGAGACAAGCTGTTGTGAAAACAAGTTTAGATTTTGAAAGCATTACCATGATATGGTAAACTGGGCTGACTGGTTTATGGAGGCACCATGGGCAGGAGAGGAGCCAGGAGACAAAAGAGACGCCAAACAGTTTAAAAAAAAGCCCTCCGATTGCCAACAACATTTTAGATTAGATTTCTTATGGTCTCAAATGTTCAAAACAACTTCAAAGCTCCCCTGAAGCTTCGGTGCCTTGGTGTGAGCACTGAGGCCATGGCTCGATTTTGTCAAACCCTCCTTCAGCCCGTCTCCCGCTCTATGAACTGCTTGCCTTCAGTGACAGGGGCTCCTCTGTCCTCAGACTTGCTCTACAGAGCTTTAGGTTTGGGAAAAAAAAAAAACAGAAAATACACAGCAGTTTTAAAGGCATCACTTACTAGTGTTTCTGCTCTAAAAACTGCAACTCACCCAAGTCACATGCTCAGCTCATTCACTGCTATTTTTCATGAACACGTGGAGTGAAACAAACAGAAGAGCAAAAATGTTTTTGTTTAGAAACAGGACCTAACACTCTGACACTGTTTTTCCAAATGGGCTGTTTCATTTGTGAACACAAAAGGGTGTTCCCATTTTACAGCTGAGGAAACTGAGTTCAGAGGATGTGAAGCACCCAGCAGGTGTAGTTGTTCACAGTACCTCTGGGAACCCATCGCCCTCCCAGCACTTCGGGTCGCCCTGCCTCGCGCTCTGTGCAGCCGGTCTCTGCTCCGGTCCCGGCTCCGGTCCCCGAGGGCCATGGGGCAGGAAGGTCAGGTAGCTGACATCCTGCGTGGCTCTAATGCAAAGCTCTACCAGATTCTTCTCTACCATCCAGAGAGACCGGGGGCAAAGCTGCATCGTCATGTTCATGGTGCACGTAACCAAAAAAGCAAACTATTTAGAAAAGTACCCAGATACCACAAAACTTAAGTTTTATATGGCCAGGACAACTCTCCTCCATTTTATGTTTTCCCCAGAGCAGGTTGAACCTTAAGTTCACCTCATTCTCCATAACTGTTTATGAAAACCACCAAACTTTAACAGATCCGAACAGAGGAGCATGAGGGTAACATGCTTGTCCCAATAACACAACCACATGTAAATAAACATGCAGATGTAGTACTGGCCCAGCGTTGAGTCTGGAGGGTTGGCTTAAGAGCCGAAAAATGGGATGTGACTTAAGTGCCCTAGGACAAAGGAGTGTCTCATTCAGCACTTACCAGGGAGCATAAAACTTGATGAAAGTTATGCCTTCTGCAATGGTGTCATCAAAGTTATTTTCTGTCAATGCCAACACAGTGCCCTACAAGGGAAGGAAAAGCCACAATTCAAATACACCATTTAGAGTAGAGCGGGGTCATGGTTTGGGACTGCAGAAATACAAATCTGTCATCTTCTAAAATGCTGTTACGCATGCCCCAAGGCCACGCAAACATACCTACACAGCTTGCTTTTCTCAAAAGCTCCACAAAAGGGCGGGCAGCAACTCCTCACAGGTTCTGCGGTCCTGAGCCCAGGAGATGCTGCGAGGAGCTGGCGGGGTACAGCCAGTGTCCCACCACCGGCCAGCCCAGGTGGGTTCAGGTGCGGCTTCTGTCCCCGGGGCACCTCTGGGTGGGCTGGGCCCCAGGCTGCATGCACCCCCTGGGCTGGGAGCCTTGAACTGACCAGAGTCCAGACACCCACTGACTGGCCTCCCTCAAGTCTGCACAGATACCGCTGCTCACTGCCCTTGCCACTCGCACAGCGTGGAGCCGTAAAAATGATCTTCTCTGAGTAACAGAAGGCCCTGAGTTTCAAGAGCACAGGCAGTGGCATGTGCTTTACATGTAACAGGCTTCTTTCCATTTTTAAATTCAAAGTCAACGTGAAAACTGCTCTTTTAAACTAGTTGGAAATTTAGGGCAAAGATGCCACAGGGCAGTCCGCTCTTATGCAATTCTACCCTGATGGTTCACTGCAGAATTAAATCCCTGTGTTTCTCCAAAAATGGCCCTGTGATCCTCTCGTGAGAGGAAGAGCACGGATGATTTACCACGTGGCTCATGCCCCACTCAAGTCCGGCCTCAAGTAACGTGTGTCAGTGACTGGGAGGCGAATCGGGCCATGGGGCCGTCAGAGACCACCACCATCCTTCCTTATGACCAGAAACATGGTGCCACACTCACCGAAAGACCCGCTTCCCGGTGGAAAATGTTATTATAAGTAGAAACCATTCTGTGTTTGATGGAAACATCCCCAGTATATGATGATACTCATCTGGGGTGACCTTTACGACCACTGTGACACACGCTCTCCCGACACATGTGGTCGTGACAACTACAAAACCATTTGTTTATTTCTTAAACCGAAACTTTGACTAACACGCAAGCAGCCTTCGACCTACGCGGGTCCCACTGAAGGCTGTGGGTTTTTACAATTCAAAACAGCTAGGCCTCAGAGCCTCGTGGCTCCAGTGAGTCACGATCTCTCATGGAGATGCTGAGGGCCGGAGAGTGACCGGGGAGGCTGCCTCCCTCGGAACCAGAGACCGGGGGAGAACCTGACTCTGGAGTGCAACCATGTGAACCGAGGCAGCAACGGGAGGATTTTGCTTTGGGAAGAAACTGACACAGAGGCCTCTGGGTCGTGGCTGGGAAACCCGAGCATCGGTTTCCTGGGAAAGCACTATTTGACTCCCCCCGAATCACCTCATTTTCACCCCTGGCTTCGGCATCAGCTTGTACCTAAAGCTGCGGACACGTGACCCCACCCACCTAGCGTGGACAGCCTGCCTTAGCTCCAGACTCATACACTTAACTCTTGCCAACTGCATGCCCCCCAGAGCCTCGCCAAAATTGGCTTGAAAACAGGGCTCATCCCCTTCCTCACGCTCTACCCCGAGTCTCGTGCTTGATGCCCGGGCCGCCGGATGTGCCGGAACTCCATCCCTCCCCGCCAGGCTCTCCAGCACACACGTCATCCTTCAGCCGTGCGGTGACACTTCTCACCTCTCGCCCCTCACTTGTGTTCCAGCCCCTGCAACACCTGCACGTGTGTGTTCTCGTCTGCCTCCCCCTCCGGACCCACCCCTCTTCACAAACCGCTCCGGGTTTTGCTTCCTGGTGGCCTAGGACCGTGCTGGAAACACCAAGGCTTGATAAATGCCGAACAAACGAACGGAAACCCTGACCATCTGCAAAGATGCCGGGGCGGCCTGAACAAATCAAACACCCCTTTGAAATTCCGAGGCGCACATCCTTCCTGCCGTAGGTCTTTCTAAGGGCCTTACCGCCTTGACTGCGGCCAGTCATGGAAATGAACAAAGCGGACCCGAGAGGTAGCAGCCGAGCTCTCACAGCAAATGCCTGTCTAGTGATGGCAGCCAGAGGGAGGAACCTTCCAGAAGTGCTGCCACCTAATACTTCCAGGGCCCTGTCTCCCATCTACTCCAGTCTCTCAGAGGGAGGCTGTTTACATGTGCCCCTAGGAGCTTATGTACAAGGAGCTGAAGACGTTTCTGTTGGGAAGTCCACCGCCGCCAACCGCCCGAATTCCACGCACCGTCCCCACGCCGCCCTCGGCGGCCCGCTCTGGCCTCGCTGACCGAGGCCGGCACCCACCTTGTCCG